GTCAATATGAAATCAAACAATGATCTTGAGAGAAATGAGATGGAAAGGATCCCGTATCGGAGTACCGCAGGATCACTAATGTATTTAACCATGGGAACTAGACCCGATCTAGCTTTTGCTCAAAGCTTGATTAATCGATTCCAAAGTGATCCTGGATTAGAACATTGGAAAGCCATGAAAAGAATCATGAGGTATTTGAAAGGAACATTTAATTATGAATTAACCTATGGCAATGTGAGTGAGCTTAAAGTTTTGGGATACACAGACTCCGACTATCAAGGAGACCCGGATGACTCGAGATCCACTTCGGGTTATCTATTTTTTATGGGGGTGATACAATTTCTTGGCGCACCAAGAAGCAAGGCATTGTAGCTCTATCTACCACGGAAGCCGAGTATATGGCTTTAAGTTTCGCAACTTTAGAAGCCATTTGGATTAAGAAGTTCTTGAATAATCTTAACTTCAACCCTTTAAAACATGGAACTATTAGAATCATGTGTGACAATCAAGCAACAATTGCAGTGGCAGTTGAACCAAGGTTCCACAACAAGTCAACGTATATTAAAGCTCAATATCATAGAGTAAGAAAAGAGATAACAACTAGTGAAGTAGAAGTTGGTTACATTCCATCTAAGGCTATGCATGCAGATCCTTTATAACCAAAGGCTTGGGGGCAATTGATTTTATGAGGCATGTGCATGGGATGGGTTTAAGGAGGTTGACATAGTTGTTATTACTTTGTCTATTGCTTATGAATGATAAATCCATCGATAAGTATGCATGCTTTGATTTATTGTGAATGATAATGAGGTAGATATATATATATATATACGAATTCAGGCCTCAAAAGGCCAAGTGGGAGATTGTTGGAAATATGGCCTATCAAAGCCTAAATTTCAGTAGTCTCTCATTCAGTGGGAGTGATTGAGAGATTGAAATCTTGACGTTCCGAGAAATGGAGCCCAGATTCTTGTACTCCGAATACGCATGAGGCATCGAGAGTTCACGTGTTGAGAAATCAATTTCTATAGGAGGTATGAGGGTCACTTCCTAGTCAGGATTTTATAGGTTAGCCTTATGTTTAGCTGCAATCGGCCAGGGCTTGGATAATCCAAATGAGAAAAATAGAACCCAAGTACTTATTGAGTATTCACCCTGTATGGAATGGTCAAGACTTATGGGACATCAGTCTGTATCCTGACACGAGACTATTGCATGGCATGTGCATTTCATTTCGTATAGGAAGCCACTTTTCCAAATGCATTATCGAGTTTGGAAGAGCTAGTGCACATGTTCTTTGAGAGAATCCCTGTAATTGAGTTTGATCATGTCCCACAGGGGTACATCTGCAATCTATTGAAAGACGAATGATCGGAAGTTCTGGCTCAACGGCTTTGATGTGGCCAATTATGTGTATCTGTTTTAGACTATGGAACATAGGTCTATTGGGTCGATCTGAGACTCGGCAGAACATCATTCGGGATTAGCCCAATGGAGTACTCCGATACCTATAATTATTAGCCTGAGATCTCACTATACCTTTTGTCTGATTTTATAATGATGAGAAAAACCTAATAATTGCTCAAAAATACTTTAAATATTTATTGTGAATTTTAGAGAAGTTTTCAGAATTTTATTTGTTAAAAAAAATAAGGGTTTTCATATTGTTTGGCTCAAATTCCACTTTAGTCCTGACTTGGTCGTGCCATGTGGCGTCGGAGTGGCCATAAGGCTACCACATGGCACCCCACACCTCACTCTATGATCACCGCCCAGCTGAGCACTGCTCCCTCGACAGGGGACTAGATTGGCATTTGATTGCTTGTTTTATAAGGGTTGTGTTATGGTGTTTTGTTATATATTGTTATATTTTGTTATATAATGTTATAAATTAAGGCTCTTTTTTTATCACATGTCTTAATTAACTCACACATGGGTCATGCATGCCATGTGTGAAGTTTAATTATTTTATTTATTTGATATTAAAGAGAAAATGCATTTTCAAATTTGAGTTGAAAAATATCTTGACACACATGTGTGGAGGGAACATTATCTTTAAATTGATTGGTTTGAAATTTTAGATATACAAAGTGATTGGCTTTGATAAAAAAGAATATCTCAACATGTGTGAGCTTTACCAATTACTTATTTGCCCATTAGCCTTTGTGGTTATCTACTGTAATGCATTATTAAAAAAAACTAAAGGTATTTTTGTAAGGCCATATGGATACAATTGGAACAAAAATATGAGTCAAAGACAAAATGGTAAATTGACATAACTTAAGGTTAAGGTGAGTGATAATGGTGTGAAATCTCATCCCTTCATCCTAATGGTTGGATGGGGATGGATGGCAAGGTACATTAGCCTCTCATGTGCCTTTGGATTACCGCATCAAGGGTATTGATTGAATCCAAAGTTACACCCATGTTATAAAAGCACATCATGAGATCTCAAACCCTAACTATCTCAACTCTTGAACCATTTTGGAAAATTGTTGCTCCCCTCTTTCTTCTAAGGTTTTGTGAGAGAAAATTGAAAAGATAGAGCTTATAGAGTTCCATTAATGATGATCTTGATGGTGGTCCTCTTTTCTTATGCTTAAGTCTATAGTGTGCATTTATCTAAGTAAACTCCATTTAATTTTTCTTTTATCATAAGATCATATCCTTGACATCTATAGTTGTTGGAGTTTTGAATTTAGAAAAGTTTCATTGATCTTAGAATCCATATGATCATCTTTTTCATCATGCTTATTCATATAGTGGTCCTTCATGAGTTATAACCTATATGCATGAGAATCCATGATTATGCATAGTATCCTTTAATTACTTTGTTTCAAACTCATCAAATAATTTAGTCTCAGAGTGTCACTCCATTTACAGAGCTTTTTCATCACGTTTTTACCTATGAGGGTGCATAATCTTTCCATACAAGACTGTTTTGGTGGTCCGAGGGACTACCGTGTGTAGTTTTGCCATAACTCTCGTGTTCTTTATCTGATTCGATTTAAACATTTTGCATTCTGTTTTGGATGATATTACCAATGTGTTGAGATCTTAAGAAGTGATTTTAAGGTGTGTAATTTCTTTCAATTTGGATTAGACACTCTTGTAAGATTGAACCACTTTTGTACAATCCGAAGGGACAAAATTAAATCCTTATAGGCCCGAGTGCATGGCCTCGATACAAGGGGTTCGAAACATGACTTCCCTATTTTAATTTGGCATTCTAATTCACTGTTTAGTTGATTTTATTCTTAAATTTTTTTTTTTGATTATTTACATGATGTATTTTAGCTTTGGGACATAGTTTATGTAATTTGTGCTATGAGTTTAATTCATAAGCTAGTTTTGCTTTATATGTAATTGCCTCATAAGGGGTTGGTATTTTAGTTTATTTACAGTAGTTATATAAGGCTAGAAATAGTTGTAGGTATTTTAGTTTATTTACAGTAGTTATATAAGGCTAGAAATGGTTGTAATTGTTAAGTAAAACGATTGTAACTTATTCACTTGGCTAGGTTTTTAGCAAGTGGCTTGTTGAAGGAGTCCATTTTGACTTGTTTTTTGGCTTGAAAATTTGCTCTAATCTTTGTATCCACTATCATTAGGGGCATAACATAACAAGCTCCACCAATGAAGCTGCTCATTACATTGGAGGATAATCATCTAGGGCAAAATGGCCAATGTTGTCAATTGGTGTGAGTGTGGAAATGGTATTCCCTAGCAGATAAATAGAAAGGAATCGAAGATTCCATGAACTTGTTAGAGTCAAGGACTAAAAAGATATGGGGATGGGGGTCGGGACATATGTGGTTAGGGGGCTGGTGCCTCGACATAACGTTTGGGCTCCATTCCACTTGAAACTTCAAAAATTTATATGATTCCTTGGGCTTTACTTTATTTGTATCTTGGGCGTTACTTACAAGTTGTACTGGCTCATTGTCCAGAAGATTTAAAGAAATTTACCGTTAATGTTCAAAAAAAAAAACCAGGAAAAAAACAAAAGGTGCTAGAGAGTTAAAAAGAGAGATATATGAGATCTATCTCAAACAAGGGTGCAGTTGGCATACAATGCATTCGTAGCTATAGAGGTAAGGTACACCTTCAAATTTTATCATGGTATATAATTTTGATGTAAAATGTTTTTAAGATTATCTCAAAATCTATTTTTATATCTAATTATAAAATTTTTAAATTTTAAAAATAGTTAAAATCAAGTAGATCTTTAAACATATGAAAATCTTGACAATGGACAGTGCAGATAATATCTTGTAAAGTGCGTATTTTTTGAGATTTAAATTATTTTTATTATTCATGGTCATATATCTTGATGTGGAGAGAACCACAAGGTTTTTCAACATTAAGACTACCTTTTTCGATGGATTTTTAAGATGCACCCCTAATTCTACGTTATAGGGTTGCATCGTTATATAAACTTTTTCCCTCAAACAAATGAGTTGTTCAAATAAAGCGACCTCTTGCTCTTGACCGTCCATCTGCCCACGTGAGTGCGCGCATCGCACACTGATTTTCCACAATCCTGTCCCCCATGGCCCAAAGGAAAAGAGACAAACACCATCCCCATCACACCAATCCCAACCGTCCATCTCCGACCCTCCCTCCGCTTACAGCTGTTACAAAACCTGCCCTGGCTGCCGTCAATGGAAGAAATGAACGGAAGGGATTAGTGATCTTTACTCTCTCGTCCCCACGTGAACGGCTTAGATTCGAGATCCACACCCCCATACCTTGCCGCCGATGAGCGGCACGGATCTTAAAGCTCGACTGCCTCTGAAAACATCAGAACCGTCCATTTTAATAGAGCTCTTAAACATCGGGACCACTGGTAGTTGATTCTTAAGACCTTTAAAGTTAAAATCAACGGTCCAGATATCCCCCATGGTGACTCACTCCTTGGTTTTGAACCGTCAATTACAACGATACTTAATTTAGGAGACTTTATGCATATAAAATTGTTCCTCCATTGAAGGTTCCGACAGGAGCCACCATGTTCTCTCGCATCATCCACTTTCTCGCTCTACAATCCTTGTTTCCTCTGGTTCTCAGCAGCCATGGCTCTCTCTCTCTACCATTCTCTCTCCCTCTGCAACAATCCCAAACCCGTCTCTCTCAAGACGACCCCCAAACTCTCACTCTCTCTCTAGAAAGAGTCACCCCAAAACCCACATCAGATCCCTATCACAAGCTCTCCATCTATGCCTCCACCTCCCTCGCAAGAGCCCAACTTCTCAAACGCCCCAAATTTAGCAAAAATGCAACTACATTTGAGGTTCCTCTGTCTCCTCTAAGCTATGGTGGCTACACTGTCACTCTCGATTTCGGAACACCTCCGCAACCTCTTTCTTTCATCATGGACACAGGTAGTGAACTTGTTTGGTTTCCATGTACCTCAACATACATATGTGCTATGTGTCCAAATCCAATCCCTACTTTCTTCCCTAAACAATCCACCTCTGCTAAATTAGTGGGCTGTCTAAATCCGAAGTGTAAATGGATAAGTGAATCTTCAGGCTCAATTTCTCTCTGTAAATCTCGTGTTTGCTCACCTTACATTGTACAATATGGGTCTGGTTCAACCTCTGGTCTTCTCCTTTCCGAGACTCTAAATTTAAAAAGCTCCTCTAAGTTTGAAGACTTTGTGGTGGGCTGCTCTCTAATTTCTAGTAGGCTGCCCTCTGGTATTGCCGGGTTCGGAAGGGGTAATCTCTCTCTACCAGACCAGCTAAATTTGGGGAAATTCTCTTATTGTTTGGTTTCACATAAGTTTGATAACACAAATAAAAGCAGTACAATGCAGCTTGGTGCCTTGGTAGATGAGAGCAACCTTGAATTCACACCATTTCTGAAGAACCCAATATCAGAAAACAAGGCTTTTCAGGTTTATTATTACTTGGGTCTTAGAAAGATCACAGTAGGTGGAAAGAAGGTGAAAATCCCTTATGAATTGTTAAAGCTTGAGCCCTCAGGTAATGGCGGTTGTATCATAGACTCTGGTACTACTTTCACTTTTATGGAGAGAGAAATCTTTGACAGAGTTGCAGAGAAGTTTGAGGCAGAAGTTGGGTTGGAGAGAGAGAAAGCAATTGAGGAGAGCAGCGGTTTGAGGCCTTGTTTTAATGTTTCAAAAGGTGAGAATTTGACATTACCAAAGCTAGGTTTTCATTTCAAGGGTGGTGCAACAATGGAGCTTCCTTTAGAGAATTACTTCGCATTTTTCGGTGAAACTCAAGCTGTTTGCCTCACAATATTGACAGATAACGGTAATGTTAATGGCTCAAAGGTGGGGCCTTCCATTATTTTGGGCAATTTTCAGCAGCAAAATTATTACATTGTTTATGATATAGAGAAGGGGAGATTAGGGTTCAGGCCTCAGGAGTGCTGAGACTTGGGAATATTTCCAGTGCCGAAGTTTCGGCATCATTTCGGCCGAAAACCAAATAAAAGGGGGACAGCGAATCTTTCGTCTTTTTTGGTTTGCTTAATGCGCAATACAATGCTAATTTTTATTAAGTTCTTGAATAATTGTGAGAATATGATGTGTCATAATTAGTGTGTGATTTCAACCGGGCTTTAATGAAATTGGCCTACTTTTCACTCTGTCATTATTTTCTGTTCTGTAGTTCATGGCATGTGCTTTGCACATCATTTTATTTTTTATCTGACCTTGAGTGATTCGTCCATTTTTTTTAATTTTCCACTGGAATTGTATGTTATGATACTGCTTACTTTTTTTAAATTTTCCATTGGAATTGTACAAGAAAATAATGACCACCCAGATCCAAAGAAGTTTCTTTGATTTTGATCACAATGAATGGTGCAACTCTTAGATAATGATTTCGCATCTGAGTCTAAGACTGACTGAGACCTTGTTTAAAAATTAATTGAAGTCTTGGCGAAAGTCGTAATTGGATTGTGGGACAGATCTCTATGGATTATAATAAGGTCCACTCCTTTTTGGATGACTTTGACCCCACCTCACGGGGCGGAGGATGGTGCTATTGGCCTATTTTGCCGTGAAAATGGAGTCACGGTCTTATAATGGGTTGCGGTGGTTTTTATTCCAACCGTTAACACCACTCTCATTAATATTTTCAAAAAGTTAACTCTTAATTTACTTGAAAAAAATAAGTAGGAGCTTGTCTTTTCTACTGAATTACTAAAAAAAAATTTATTAGACTGCGGCAAATGTCCTCAAATTCTCATTTATTTGGGTGGTGTGTTGCACTGGAATGGTTATGGCCTTTTCTAATTTTCTTTTTTGAAGGTCGCAAAGGTAATAGATTTCATCACATGGTACTGAGAAATGGTCTTATCGCTTATTGATTATGCCTAGCTTTTTGATGCTCTCCCTTCATTCATTTTGAAAGGGATGGGTGGTTGAACTCTCAGTTTTGATCATTTTCAATATGGCATAAAACACGCGAAAAGTGACCCCCTTTTTAGGTTTGGTGGATGCAAAAGTTTGTAAAACTCTAAAAACAAATTCGACGGAAAAAGTGTATCCAGCTGGACATAAAATATGTAGAGATTTTGTATGCAGCCATTAGGGCCGCCTCCGGGGCCCGCCCTGCCAAGCCCAAAAACATTTTCAGGCCAGGCCCGGTATAGCCCAGCCCAATATCTATGGTTATGGGCTCAATGTGAAAATTATATGTGAAGCCCAGCCCAAAAAATGATTTCAATATGGGGCCGGTCCATGGCATGGGCCAAGCCCACAGGCCCAACCCCAATAAAAGCCCCGTTTTTTTTTTTGAAGGATCTAATCGGTCCCTCAAAAAAAAAACCAAAACTATTTATTAATGATAAAGAAATAGCGGGAGAGGCTTTTAGCCACGTCTCTCCATCTCCCTTTCTCTCTCTCTCCACGTCTTTCCCTCCATCTCTCTCTCCCCTCCCCCCCCCCTCTCGAGGTTTCTTTCTCTCTTAGACCTTTCTCAAATCTCTTTCTTTCTGAAACCGCCTCCCTCTCTCGCTCTCTGAAATGCCTTGCCTCTCTCGAAGGTCTCTCTGAAGCCCCTCTCCATCCTTCTGAAAACCTCACTCTGAAACCACATCTCTATCTGAAACCCCTCTCTCCCTGAAACCCCTTCTTTCTCTCTCTCACTCTCATGTAAATACCCTTTATTTTCAATATCTCTCTCTCTTTGCTCATACTTTTCACCCCTCACCTTTTGACAATCATTATCACTATTTAACTCTCTCTCGCAGTGTGTGTGAAGATCATTGAAAGGACCATAAGCATCCATTATTTGGACCAAGTGACCTCCATGAAACTGCACTCCAAATTTCCAGGTGCCTCTGTTTACAATTTCGATTACCAGAAAAGCACCATATGGTCTCCCCTCCCTCCACAACCTTACCGCAAAGGTCTTTTTCTTGAGAACCCTCTGCTCCCACTTGATAATTCTCTTCTCTTGTCTGAAAAGCTAATCCCAGTAAAACCAAAAGGGCTTTTTCTTAATGAGAGAGAGAGCGAGAGGGAGAGAGAGAAAGATCAAAAAATGAAAAGTTGTGGTGAAAAATATTTCGGGCTTCGGGCCTGTGGTTGGGCTTTGATCTCGTCGGGTCAAAAAACTGTGTGGAGACCCGGATGTGGGGTCCAGCCTGAGATCGCTCTCTCGAAAACTACAGTGCGTCGGGTGACAAAGAATTATAGGGTGTGAGGTGGGACCTACTCCCGAAAACCGCATTGTGTGTCGGTACACGTATGGGTAGGGACCAACGGGTGAGAGAGAATTATAAGGTGTGAGGTGGGACCCACTTCACGGTGGATTCGTGACGCTCTCGGGCTTGCGCTGATGTCCTCTAAGATCACGACAGAAAGCCCTCAAGCTTGAGGATGGTTCGGCTATGTAGACACCCATTTTAAATCTGTCAAATTCTATGGTTTTCTGAACTCTTAAGACCACGTTATCTTAGTACACCCAATTTAATTATCCTAAAACTACCCAAATCGAGCCCACGAGCTTTTCAACGGTCCAAAAATCGTCAGAATCTGACATACAGATAAAAAGAATAACAAACGACAATTTGGTCTATGTAAGACCCAACTATCGAGCCGTGGGCCGGGTCTCTCTTGACAATCATTATCACTATTTAACGCGCTCTCTCTCTCTCGCTGTGTGTGTGTGAAGATCATTGAAAGGACCATAAGCATCCATTATTTGGACCAGGTGACCTTCATGAAACTGCACTCCAAATTTCCAGGTGCCTCTGTTTACAATTTCGATTACCAGAAAAGCACCATATGGTCTCCCCTCCCTCCACAACCTTACTGCAAAGGCCTTTTTCTTGAGAACCCTCTGCTCCCACTTGATAATTCTCTTCTCTTGTCTGAAAAGCTAATCCCAGTAAAACCAAAAGGGCTTTTTCTTAGAGAGAGAGAGAGAGTGAGAGGGAGAGAGAGAAGAGCAAAAAATAAAAAGTTGTGGTGAAAAATATTTCGGGCTTCGGGCCTGTGGTTGGGCTTTGATCTCGTCGGGTCAAAAAACTGTGTGGAGACCCGCATGTGGGGTCCAGCTTGAGATCGCTCTCTCGAAAACTACAGTGCGTGTCGGGTGACAAAGAATTATAGGGTGTGAGGTGGGACCTACTCCCGAAAATCGCAGTGCGTGTTGGTACACGTATGGGTAGGTACCAACTGGTGAGAGAGAATTATAAGGTGTGAGGTGGGACCCACTTCACGGTGGATTCGTGACACTCTCGAGCGTGCGCTGATGTCCTCTAAGATCACGACGGAAAGCCCTCAAACTTGAAGATGGTTCGGCTATGTCGACACCCATTTTAAATCTGACAAATTCTATGGTTTCCTGAACTCTTAAGACCACATTATCTTAGTACACCCAATTTAATTACCCTAAAACTAACCAAATCGAGCCCACGAGCTTTCCAACGGTCCAAAAATCGCCAGAATCGGACATACGGATAAAAAGAATAACAAATGATAATTTAGTCCATGTGAGACCCAACTATCGAACCGTGGGCCGGGCTATAACGGGTCCAAAGGCCCAGACGTGGGTTGATGATGCAGTAAATGTATTTTTTTTAATTAGATAAGGCTAAAACTTCAAGATAAATCTAAAAAATTCCGAAAAAACTCAAATAATTTAGAAAAAATCACCAATTAAATTTTATAAATACCTCCTCTCCCTAACCCAAAAAGGGAGAGAAAAAGAGACCAAAAAAACCTTAAAAATTCTCGAAATTAGAAAAATTACCTAAAAATACCAAAAATAGAAAAAAACCCTTAGAAAATTCTTAAAGATTTAGAAAAAATTCCCAAAAACTCCAAAAAATTAAAGAAAATCTCGTAATTCATATTCAACCTATGGAGATCACAAAACCCTTAGAAAACTAAGAAAATTATCTCCCAGACCCCAGAAAGACCGACAGCTTTAGAAAAATCTCTAGATTGGACACTGTAACAATCCTAAACTTTCGAAAAAAAAAGAAGAGAAAAAAAAGAAAGGGAAAATAAACATTTAATAAGTGATGGTCCATATGAGCATGATGGTCCTATGGGACCATCACTATTTTCAAAAGCTTTTGACTTAAGCTTTTCTTATCTTATGACGTGGCTTGTAGTTTCTCTTACGTGTTGGCCCTTGACAATCCACTATGACGTGTAAGTAAATTAAATGTATCATCTTCCTATGGTATAACCATGAGATGCGTCTTTTTAATAGAAACTTTTATCACTGAGCTCTTGTGCATACTGATTCCATAAGATCTACTGTAAACGGGTGACCTTTTAGTGCCCCAACCAACATACACAAAAAGCATCAATTTCATGAGTGATTAAAAGTAAGTGACATCATCTTCTTGAAATATAGTCTGTTTTTAATAAATAGTGATATTTTCGTCCAAGATCTTTATTTTATAAGTTTTGTGTGTAAGTGACCTCATTGTCTCGAAAAATAATCCATTCTTTTTAAAAATGAAATGAAAGAATTATTTCTACTTATTATCATGAATTTTAGGCGCGATAAATTTTATGCGCATTCGACCTCATTAACTTGAAAAATAATCTTTTTAATAAAAAATTGTGATATTTTATCTATGTTAGAAATTTTAAATGCTATAAATTATTAGAAAAATAAATTTATATCTTTTTCTTGTCTATTGTTAGAAAAGTTTAGATACTGTAAAATTATTAAAAATAAAATGTGATATTTACTGACTGTTAGTAAAATTGTGAGAATTCTTTCTACTGCTTTTGTAATATTTAG